GGTTTGGGTTTCACAACACACTTAGGTTATCAGAAGAGCTCATTTCTAATAGAACAATGAACAACTTAGACCCTCCGATCTCTTTAGGAATAGAAAATGTCACAGTGAACATCTCATAGATACAACCAAAAAGTCAGAAGGTTATAATCTCCTAGTATCAATTGAGTGAGACAATTTTACAAAGCCAAAAATGGCATGCTTAAGCACATTTTTAACTAAGATACCGAGTGCCTCCTGCTTCTGGAAGGAGTAGACTTTGTTTCCTCTGCATTAGCTGATCCCGGGCTCTCTGATGTATCAGAGCTACTAATATCACTGTTTCTTTCTTTACCTGACCAGAGTTTTGAGAATATCTTGGACATGACCAAACCTTTCATTCTCCCAGCAGCCACTTTTTCAGCATCCTTTCTAGCAATATCATGTCCATTTCTGTCACCAGAGTTGCTCCCTAGCCTTAGAGAAGTGAGCTGTCCTTTCAAGGCCTTGATATCCTCAGCTGTTGGTGCAGTGTCCCAGTCATCTTCTGTGTTAGTGGTGGTGGACCTTGAACTGCCATGAGAACCTCCCGGGAGAAGAGCTCTAATGGACTCTGGTAAATCAGGTGTGCTATTGCCAGCATTTGCTGAGGCCTTGACTTGCTCAAAGAAGAGGACCTGCAGCACAACCCGCAGTGGGAGCCTCTCGTTTTGCACGGCATGCATGCAGGCATCTGCTGACAACTTCCTGCAGTCCATCAACCTGCATATTCTCTTCCTGTTGCTCTTGCTGATGCCAGGGTGTTCCTGTATCAGGAATATTTTTAATAGTTTTAGCAATTACTTCAAATTGCTAGTTTTAAATTGTGTCTCAACCTATAGTATCTAGACACAAACAAAAAGGTTTAGAAAGTCACCTTCAGATACATGTCTATGGCTCGGTAAAGTCCATCATGCGAAGTTCTTGCAAAGGTTGATACCATGTCTGCGAGATTCACAAACTTTGACAGAGGTAAATTTGGATCCCTTGCAATTTCAGCAAGATAGCCATCCACCAGCTTTGCTACCTTTGCTTTAGAAGCACCTGATGCAAACTTGGGGCTTCTAATCTCTTGGTATTCATCTTCTAAATAAAGATTGTTCTGTGCATTCCGCTCATTGATCACAAACTCTTCAACCAGGCTCTGCACTACATCAACATCAAACATGGTTGTTTCTTCAGCTGAAGCTCGAATCAAAAGATCAGATACGGTAGCGTCCTCAAGCTGCTGACCAGCTCTCTTCATCAACTCATTTCTGTCCTTTTCTCCACAATCCAAGAGAGTTGCTGCTCTTAACAACCTGAGCAAGAAGCTACAGGAAACACTTCCTTTATCAGTAGGCAGCAGCCACATGATGGTCTCCACCAATGATCTATATTTCATGAAATCACTGCTTTGAATCATACCCTTCCTAAAACCTGGCAATCTTCTCAGGGCATATGCATTCAAGGCTTCTCCAATTATGTCATTGGAAACTCTGCCTTTTGTTCTGATATTTACTATTACCCGCTTGTATAAATCAATATGAAGTTCACAGAGGTCTTCTACCCACCAGTCCTTTGGAACTGCATGGGTTTTCTTCAGACCATTCCACTGTGGACTATTGCCATTCTCTGTTGGTAGCTTTTTCCTGTTGTAGGTATATGACCACTCTACTTTGGCAGGATCCATGGAAGCTTTAGACGCTATGGAGTCGAGGCAGTGGCTGACAACCTTTAGTTCCTCAGACCAAGGAAGAAGAGATTTTGCTGTTTGAAGAACAATAATTGAATCTTTCCAGCTCATGAAGATGCTTGAATTGAGGAAAACATCAATCTTGTAAATAAGGTTTCCTTTCTCAACATTTTCATACATCTCAAGGTATTCAGCTGCACATCGTGCTGCAGCAACATTGTACGCATTGAGAGTTACGGTCATACCATAGCAGAACTTTGCACATATTTCAAAAGCTGCAGGTCCACCAGGAATATCCTGGATGTGGATTTCATTGCTGTTTTCTTCATTTGAGGTAGCCATCAGCTTCTGCAAGCGTGCACTTTTGGATAATAGCGGAAACTGCAGAAACATAAACATATTGGCTTTGCTTGATACCCAAAATATAATAGATGCATGTACCTCAAAAATATAAGTAGTTCAACATATTGTTCACATAGATCTCCTAAGTTGTTAAAATATCAAACACAGCACATGACACATCGAGATGGCACATACCTTATGCAGATAGAATTTCACATCCCCAATAGTGATGACAATGTCAGTTGCCAAATCATTTGCAACATACCTGACACAATCATTCCTCCAGTCGAGTCAGCAATAAACTTTTAAGACATATTTGACATTGATATAAGCTTGGTCATGAAAAAGTATTATAGATAATTAGATATAATTAACAATGACATAATTTGCAAGTCCAGAATCAAGGAACGTCACTCCAACTGTCCAAATCAAAAGTAGTTGTGCCTTTATAGACAGTTTAGTTTAGCATAGCCATAAGGTTTCATTATTAGCTATCTCCAACCGACTAATTTGCCAAGGCAGTATGTATAGGATATATGAAGAGAAAACTGCCCTTAGTACTTCATATCAACTTGGTTTTATTGTTAAGCTACGGTTCCCAAAGTCCAAAATGCCAGAAAGAGGTTGAACAACTGATATATTTGTGAGAATACTTTCTCCACAATTTTGTCCTTTAATTTCATTCAGGTTGTGCTGTTACATTAAACCTTGAATGCAACTAACAAGACACAGTTGCTGAGATCTGTTACCATGCAAGACCATTCAGAACTACAATCTAGATACCAGAAGTGAGAAACAGATTCCACATCGATGACAATGGATCTAGACTTTTAACACTGTTATGCGTGAACATTGAGCAACCTAAAGAAAAGGAAAAGCCCAAAATTCGAATCACATAATCTCACACCATTCATCAAAGTCAACATGCCCTAAATAAAGCTTGCAATTGGCAGGCATAATCACACTCCATCCCGTCAGGTCAAGGACTCACAAATCATTTTCAATCACTCTCCTAAGTGTCATCAAAGTGCCAAATTTTGACATTTATTGAAGGAAAACTCAAAATATTATATCCATCCATAAACTGGTCATTGGGAAGAAGAAATCCAGCTTAAAAGGCGAAAAAGAGAAATCAAAGAAAAGGGCGAAGCAGGGAAGTAGAAAGCCAAATTAAGTTGAAGATAAAAAGTTTTCAGCATTTCGGAGAGGAAATATAAGAAAAGGAGAACATAAATTGTTATTCTATTGGTTTCCTGAAAGAAAGATCTAAACATTTACCTGTTACTGTCCCCTTCAGTCTGAAATGCATCAGGCTTGGATCCAAGTTTCATAAACTTCATTTTGCCAAACAAAGATCGTTCTTTTCTTTAAACGTTCAGCTTGGAAATCCTGTAAAATCCAGCAGTATTCAACCAGCTCCAAGTAGTATGAAATCCCCAATCAACAGTTTGAAAATGTTCTCCAATTTAACTCCTCTATGTCAATATATCTAAGGATAGATCAAAAGAAAATGGGTAAATTTCTTGGAATAAAAGTATTAATTTTAATCCTCACATACTGAGTCCAACAAAAGGAGAAGAGAGAGGTAAGTAATGGGGATGGTTTGATTTTAACCAATTGTACACTTGACTGACCGAAGAAATTAATGGGTTGCTTCCTCAGATGGCAACAGAGAGCAAAGACTCCGGACAAAGAGGTTCATCTAAGGAGACACAACCAAGCCAACACACACTCTCAAACATATATAATTCTCAACACCAGATACACCCCCACTTGCTCAAAACTGACACCACCGCCCTTCCCTTAATTGTTTATCATTCTCTTTCTTTGTTTCCCTTTTTTCAATGAATCTCTCTCACACACACATCACCAAGACTTTTTCTGGTCCACAAAGTCTCAAACCCCAAAACCCATTCTGCATCTGTCTTCACAATTCTTCTTCAAGACTTTTATCTTTTTCTCCTCTGCCGAAGCTAGGAAAACTGCAAGAAAGAAACAACATTTCTCGATATGAGCTGAGAAAACCACTAAACATGGGATGCATCAGTTTTGTAGTTTCTGAAAGGAAGGTTACACAAGCTAACATCAATACCAATAAATTTGTTTCAGAGTGGAGAAGAAATTTATCATAATCAAAGTTCAGAATGTGACACAGAAATCAATTCAGGAACACCTCATGTTCTTTCTCCCAAATAAAGCACTAAAAACTGACCAATAGAATTCATGCTTGGCTCGAAAACACCACCCAGAACATCTAGAGTTGCCGTATTTAGACCAAAATTCAGGAACATTGAACATTTACCCATGTCAAGTTTATATCCCTTTAGATTATTCCCAAGTGGTAGCCAACTCAGTCACTAAGCAGAATAAAGAAAGAGAAACCAAAAAATAACCAAAACCCACCTCAAATGACACAAAACAGACTACATTATATTCAAAAACAAAACCACAACGAATGAGTAAAGATCACTTTCAGGACCTGCTACGAGAAAAGAGTAAAGGGGGGGAGAGGTTTGGTCCAATTGGAATCCCTTCATACCTTGAAGGAGTCAGCACTAGCAGAAACACCCTAAAAACATCCAGAGCAGCTCCTTGGGAGTCTATATTACCACTACCAAGCAGGAAGAACCAGACAGAAACAATCCATTAGCAGTTGGCACACACCAACAGGATATTACTGCACAGTGCATGAGCAATATATTGAGAACGACCAGAAAACACCAAACGAAAAAAGAAGCCCCCACTCATCTTTTGCCAGCCATCACTCCCTACACTTCCCACAAAAAGCCAAATCTCAGAATGTTCCACACTCTCTCTCTCCCCCACCCTAATCTCCTTAGAATCAGCACCACCGCCCCACAACCATCGCCACCAGCCCAAACCCTCCTTTTATCTCACCTATATACCCTCAATTCACCCACCAAAAAAGTATAAACTCGTCCAACAAGGCAACAACTCTCTTCCCTCTCCGGGTTTTGCAAAAACCCAGTAAAAATTTTCACTTTTGCACAGCTCTAAAAGCGAGAAACTGCCATAGGAACCATGAAGCCCCCACAAGTCTCCATCTTTGTGTCCGCACTTCGAAACGTTGATGCACGCCTATTCTGACACAAATGCCTTTGGTGCTCCCCTAATCAAATACAAAGGACTCACCTTCGTTTTAGTGTGCTCTCGTACAA